CCGGTCATCTTTACGCTTTTTTCCGTCTCCACAAGATTGTACACCCAAAATCGGGGCTCACACTTGAAAGCTTGCAAACGAAAGTGCTTTGGAAACGTAGTATTCAACAGCTTTGTATTGCGAACATCTTCGCGATTTTTTTTTGTTTGCACGATTTTCTGCATACTCACGCACGAAATCGTTTCTTGTCGCGCACAAATTCGTGCGTTACGAAGTGCATGTTAAATTTTGTGCATTGGCGCGCAGAAAAACCTACATAGTAATTTAGTGTGAGGCTTTCATTTTACCGTGTGGTGACAAGTGCTGTCAAAACCCGTCAAATATGCAAATTTGGGGGTGGTTTCATCACGTGATAAAGTAACTCCCCGTCTTTGGGGGGTGGTTTTATCCCGTGATAGATGAACCCCCCTGAGCCAGCTAGGGGGGTGGTTCTACCACGGGATAAAACCACTCCCCAGGACCAGCAGGGGGGTGACTTTACCTCGGTATAAAACCACCCCTTCTCAGGAATCAGCCGAGGGGGGTGGTTTTATCCCGCGGTAAAGTCACCCCCGGTTCTTTTGCCGAGGGGGTGCATCTATTGCCGTACACCTGCCTTCGTCGTCTCGCCTCTGTGTGTGTTGTGTGTGTTGTGTGTGTTTGTTTTCGTTTGGACTAACCGAAAAAAAAGTATTGACGGGAGGTTGTCAGATGCAGGTGCGCATGCATTCCATCAGTTGCGAAGTTCAGTGTGTCGGGATTGGCATTTTATCCGACGCAGGTTCGACACCCGCTGATTTTTATGTTCTCTTATTTTTTTTTTGGTGGGCGTATTCTCCAGTATTCTCCGGAAAACCGGCGCAAAACCGGAAAAGCGTCGAGCACTCCCAGTGGCATGGCGGCCGTCGAGGGGTTGCGGGGGCCCCGGAGGCGGAGCCAGTGACTTAGGCCCCTGGTGTCGCGGGGCAGGGCAGGCCGGGCCGGGCCAGGCCGCGGTGGCAGGCGAGCCGCCGGCACGGGCCTCGCCACCTTGGGCCCCTGCCCCGGCCCCTGCCCTGCCCCCGCCCTGCCCCCGCCCTGCCCCCGCCCTGCCCCCGCCCCTGCCGCGGCCCCAGCGTCCTGCGCGATACGACGCGAGGCTCCAAGCCACGCCCCCCGGGTCGCGGGGCCGCCCTCTCGGCCGCCTCTCGGCCGCCTCTCGCGGGGGAGGGGAGGGGAGGGGGAGGGGCGCGCCCATTGCCGGCGTTCCGACGTCTCCGAGGAATCCCACTTCCCGACGTCTCTTCTGGCGACGAGTGGACACTGTCAGGTGAAATTCGGACTCGGCTGCACAGTGGGCCAGAAGACCAGTGGAGGCGCGGCCAAAATCCCAGACTTGTTTTGAGCTCTGAACGGAACATGTGACCTCAAGAGCCGCTTCGTCGTCCACTCAACTTCGACGTAACACCACACTGCAAGAAAAAGTGTGAATAGTAGAACAAAAGTACCACGATAACTGTACAATAAAAATACAACGGGGATTGTCTAAAGTACAACGAGAATTGTTGTACAAACCACTACGAGGCCTGGACTGTGCAGCACTCGTCATGCCAGTACCCATTATACTTCGTACAACACTTGTTGTACTTTGAAAGAACAATAAATTCCTGATTTAAAAAAAACTGCCAGAAATTTGTGTACCTTTGTTGTGTTTTTTTCTTGCAGTGCAGATTCGGCTTTTCAACTAGTCGCAAGTCTGGCAGACGATCTTTCACTTCGGGGAAATTTCTTGGCTCGTTTCCCTCTCCCTGTCCCCTTCGCCCATTCACAACAAACAGTTCCAAACATCCCCCTTTTTTCTGGTGTCCCGGAAGGTTTCTACCTTTTTGTTTTTCTCTAATGAGTCCCTTAATCGCTTGGGGGGGTCGACGCGTCCCGGTGTCGGGTCAAGGGTCGCCCCACTGTTGTCAGCGAGCGTCATTTTGTCATTTGGCACGGAATCCATTCTTCGCGTTGGCAGGCCGGCCGGCCGCTCAGCCGAAAGGGTTTGTTGTGCTTTTCGAGTGGATGTCCGGCAGGTAAGCGTCCGCGGTGGTGGGTGCGGCGCTGCCGGGTGATGCGCACTGACCGGTGACTGACCACTTCCTGAGAGTGAGACTGCTGCTTGACAAAGTGCGCCCTCCGTGAAGCTTATAGTGTGTGCGCCCTTATTGAAGCGTACTAGACTCGGATTAATGTCTTCCAGCGTCGTTCTAGAGCTTTACGCTTAACACTGCAAAGCTAGCGGTAAGTTTGCTTGCCACAAATTTGGAAAGCTTTGACCAGAAATCTTCAAAAGCTTGCCAAATTTTGGCCAGCTGGGGAGTACTTTCGTGCCAACCTGGTCAATTTTTGGCATTCAAAACGTCTTTGCCAAATTTGTGGCAGGCAAACTAGACTTACCACTGTAATTTCACCCTGTTTCACCAGTGTAAGTACATGTCTCGGTGTACTCTCCAGCCACCCTGCCACCTCCAACTTTTCTTACTATTTTCTGCTTTCGTCCTTTCCCGTCGTTCTGCAAAGTCCTAACGCCGCTCAACTCACATTATTGTTACGCGGAAACGTGAGGGATTCCCCAAATATTCATCAATAATCGGCTTTGCGGCGTTCCGCGCTGTGCTGTCCCGCCGAAGACTTATGACCGGCCAGCGGAACGTCTGCATATGAAAGAGAAAGAGGGTCCAATCGATACTCCTCCTTCCTTCTCCCCGTTGCGCGATTCCCACGACGGGGACACGCACACACACGCAACGCACGCACGCACACACACACACGCACGCTACCTGTGAGGCGGGGTCGCGGACTGGACACTTGCCCGGCGACGGTCAAGCACCGCTGGCCATCCTCCACTGCGAGGTGACCCACACCCCGCGCCGCGGGTCGAGGCCGCGCCGAGGAGGCCGTCAAGGCGGTCGCTTTCTTCGCTCCGTCTCTCTCGCACCTTCAGGGGGACGCCCCGAGGGTGCGAGAGAGACAGACTCTCGCGGAATCAGTGTGCTGGCCGGCCGCGACCCGCCGGTAAACAAAAGGTGCGTCTTGACCCTTGTTGGCGGACAAAAGCCGCCGTGCATAGCAATGCGTTCGGCAATGCCTCCGTATATGTTTTCCCCTTTGCCCGTCCCGGTCAGCCGCGGGGACGCGGTCCGACTTTCGAGGGGTGGGGGCACGGATTTCCGACTGATTTCCGCCACTGGATTCTTGTTCGATCAGGGCTTTCGATAGCCCGGCTCGGTTATTTTCGTATGTGTCACACGTGTGTGTGTGTGTGTGTGTGTGTGTGTGTGTGTGTGTGTGTGTGTGTGTGTGTGTGTGTGTGTGTGTGTGTGTGTGTGTGTGTGTGTGTGTGTGTGTGTGTGTGATGTTCACGTGACAGACAGCTTCGCGGAAGCGACGTGTGCATCGCGTCTCCTGCTGTGTTTTCTCGTCGCTCGCCGCGGTGCTGAAGGTTACATGTGCGAGTGATAGCAGCGCATGAGTATTCGTATCTCTCTGCGATTTCCGTCGCCTCTTGCCGTGCCTTTCCACTTGACATTTCGCGTGGCTTCCTATTTCCTTTCGCCACGCTGCGCGCGGGGAAATCCAATTTTCGATGCGTGCGGTTTGCTTTCGTCGCGGGAAGAATGAAATAAAAAGTAGGAAGAATTGCCACCAGCAGGGCGACAGCTTTCCGCGACGACCCCGTGGACCCCGCGGACCCCGTGGACCCCGCGGACCCCGTGGACCTCGGCGTTTGGCGGGTCAGGCCGGGCTAATCCGCAGCCAGGGATCGAGATAGGCCGCCAGGGTGGCAGGGTCACTGTCGCCGCGACTCGCCCGGGACTCGCCCGGGACTCGCCCCTCATTTGCATCTCTTTGCAGCGCAGGCGTGCGTGGCACGGCGTGGCGGCGGGGCACTTCCCCGGCACACATGTCCGCGGCCCCGTGCATGAGTCATCGTTTTTCGACCGGCCTTTCGAACATGTGACAAGGTTGCTGGTGTTTTTGGTAGTGCTGGTCAAAGGTGGCGTTGTGAAGGATGGAGGTTTTCCTGGAAATTTTTATTGGAACCATGAGGCGGTGTCGTGTGGGAGCACGCTGTGAGTGGAGGCGCCGGCGGCCGCGGCCCGGCGTCGGCGCGGCCCCGACGGCGTCCTGGCGTCGACTGGCGTCGGCGGCGGCGGCGGCCGGCGGGCGGCGTCGGCGTCGCTGCACCGGCGCCGCACCGTGACGCACTGGTGGCGCCCCTGGCGGCGGCGCGGGCAAGCCGTGCAGTGCAGTGCGAGGCGAGCCATACGCCGCCCCTCCCCTCGCCGGCTTCCCCCACCCCAGGTGACACGGCGCCCGGCCACGCCCGGCGGAGCCAATGAGGGCGGGAGTCACAACCCTGTGGGCGGCCCTAGGCGGCCCCCGGCGGCCCCCGGCCTGGTGGCCACGGCGGCGGCACGGCGGAGGCACGGCCGAGCCACGTCGCGGCCCGGGACCCTGCGGCCTGCCGCCCGGCGGCCGGGGCCAACTCGAGCGGCCGCCGCGGCCCGGGACCCCGTGGCCGCGCCCCGCGCCCGCGCCGCCCCCCGCCGCGCCCCCCGGGCCGCTGCCCTGCCGCCCTGCCCTGCCCTCTGCGGGGCCCTGCCTTGCCCTGCCTTGCCCTGCCCTGCCCCGCCGCGGCCCGTGGGCCCCGCGGCCCGCGCGACCCGCTCGGCTCGCCTCGGCCCCGTCGGGTCGCGCTCGGCTCGCCCGATCGGCGTGCTCGGTGGCGGCGCGTAGCCGTCCTGCCGCTCGCCTCGCCCGCCGCGCCGGGCCGCCGGGCCCAGGACTCTCTTGGCTCCGGGGTCCCGCCGGGTCCCGCCGGGTTGGGTTCGAGGGTGGGGGAAAGGTCTCGGAGGAGGAGGGGTCGGTGTCAGGGAGTCAGGGTTCAGGCCGAGGTGCGGCGCAGTCGGTGCCGGACCGTGTGTGTGTGTGCGCGCCGCGTCGTCGTGCCGCCGCCTTTTCTTGTTGTTGTTGTTGCTGACCCGCGAGGTCGCCCCGCGCGGGGCCGAAGGGCCGCAGGGCCGTGGCCGCAGGGAGTCGAGCACGCGTCGCCGTGCGCCTTGCGTGCGCCTTGCTTGCCGTCCTGAAGGTCGCCGAGTGTCACGGACGAGGATCGCCGCGGACGCCGCGCACGTCGCCGACGACGACGACGTCACCATGGAGTGACGTGGTGCCATGGCAGCGAAAGTGATAGTGCAGTGTGTGATTGTGTGATGTGCTAGTGCCGTGTCGCGGGCTCGACCCGCCCCCCAGCGCCACCATTATCCTGCCTCTGTCGCACCCCCAGGCTGTGTGCCCGAGCCAGGGGCCAAGCCAGGGGTTGAGCCTCCCCCAAGGGTTGAACCCCAACACCGGGGCCCCGGCCCAGGGGCTCCAGCAGGACACGTTGGACTTCTCCAGGAGCATGGCCATGGTCGGCGTGGGCCCGCCGGCCGCGCCATGGCGGGACGCCTCCATGCTCCACGTGGGCGGCGTGGGCGGCGTCGGCGGCCACCCGGGGCTGCTCGGCGGCCACGTCACGCCGCCCTCCACCGACGACATCACCAACCTCGGCGTGGTGCACTCGGCCGGGCGCTCCGAGCTGCAGCAGCGGGCTGACTTGCAGCAGAGCACCACGCCGGGCTCGCAGGCCAACTCGACGCAGAGCGGCGGCTCGAGCAACGAAAAGAACCAGAACATTGAGTGCATCGTGTGCGGGGACAAGTCTAGCGGCAAGCACTATGGACAGTTCACGTGTGAAGGTGAGTTTCGCGGTGGTGTGGGGAGGCGGGCGCACTCTGGAACCGCGGAAAGTGCGACGACCCCGCAAACAGTGTGACACAACGCCGCGACGGTCGGCAAAAGTGCGACAAAGCGCCTGAAAGTAGGCAAAAGGTGTGACTAAACGCCGGGCAGGAAGGTAAAAGTGAGACAAAGCGCCTGAAAGTGGGCAAAAAGTACAACAAAACGCCGAGACGGCAGGCAACACCACCGACAAAGCGCGCTTAAGGTGACTCAAACGAACCGGAACGTAGCCAAACAGTGCGGAAGGGTGACTCGACAAACAACGCCAGGGAAGTCCGACGACGTCAACCACTACCACACACGGCCGACGGAACGGATACACACCGGCGCCAGTGCACCGAATGGCCTCATAAACGGGCACCTCCTTTCGGGATATGATGGGGCGTTCGCCGGGGGGAATTCACCGCGTCCTGGCAGCAGAGTGATCCTCTCATAGACGCCGAAGAAGCCCCCGCAGTGCGCGGTCTTCAGCCACCACACCTGCAGGGGGAGGTTCGCGGCGCGCGCGTCGGTCGGCGGACACGGGGTGCTTGGGGTGCGCGATGAAGATGCGCTGCGCGCGGTCGCGGCCTCGCGGCCTCGCGGTTCCCCTGGGACGGGAAGGGTGAGCGATGTGATGAGCCCGTCGGAGGACATCATCGGCGCGGTGGGAGTACGTCGCGTTTGTCGGCGGAGACCCCGACGGCGGCGCGGCGGCACGGCGGCGAGGCCCCGGGGGACCGCGACGCCCGCGCGTAATATGGGGTGCGAAGTGGTGCTCTGGCTCCGCCGGCGCGGAGGTGCGTCGCCTTCGCCGCGGTCGCCGGCGTGGGGCATCAGCTGACCGGACCACTTTCCGCACACACACACACACACACACACACACACACACACACACACACACACACACACGCAAGGGGTGAATGTAAACACACGATGCGCCGCATTGATTGCCATGATGGCTCCTCGCCACGCCGACGTCGTGGCTTCCGTCGGCGTGCCCGTCGACGGCGACCTCCCCGTGTCCAGCAGCAGATCTGAGTCACTTTCTTCGCTCTGTCTCTCTTGTCTCTCTCTCTTTTTTGCACGTTGCGTTGAAACGGTATCGCGTGTCGAAGTTACCCATCCGCGCGGACCTCATGAAGCGGATACTGCTAGTGTGGCAGCTCGCTCGCGGTGGCGGCGATGCAGGCCGAGACGCTGTTGGTGGTGCAGAGCGCCGTGTAGAACACCGTGTCGTCTGGAATTAAAAAAACAAACCGGTCGCTCTTCCGCCGCGCGCGCGCGTGTGTGTGTGTGTGTGTGTGTTTGTGCGCGCGAGTATGTGTGTGTGTGTGTGCGTGTGCGAGTGCGTGTGTGTGCATTTGCGTGTGTGTGCGTGCGGGCTGAAATTCAGCGGGTCGGTCACCCTCGCGCGATTGCGTATTACGTAGTGTCATTATGCCTTCAATTAAGCCTCCGAATGGTTTTCGAGTGGTGCGCCGTTCTTCGCGGTGGTGCTGCCATTACCGAGTGTAGGTCCATCGGAAGCGGAGACCCGTCGGCCGTGACACGGAAAATTTGAGTGACTGCAGCGGCGGGGCCGACGGGGCCGTCCTCCGCGGAGAGGTACTGCAGCGCCTTCATGAGCCGAGCCGGTTCGCAGCAGACCGATTCCGAGAGTCGTTTTCGTCGCTCTGTCTCTGCCGCACCTGTACGGGATTCCTCGCGAGTGCGAGAGAGACAGAGCGACGGAAACGACTCTCAAGACGAGTCTGCAGAGGGCACGCGTCCTGCGCCACGGCCTGCCTGATGAAGGCGCGCGACGAGCCATTAGCGCAAACCCGTGAGCCCCGCGACCGACCTGCCGAGATTTTTCGCGCCATCTGCTCTCACACTCGGATTTTCCTTTTTTATCGATCGTTGCGTTCGGGCGGCGATGGCAAATTGTGTCGATGTTTGCTGGGGTCGTGAGGAATGAGTTTTCCAAGATGACAGGGGCGTGCTTGGAGGGGAGGCGGTCGCGCGCCGCGCAGCAGCGCAGCAGCGCAGCAGCGCAGCACGCGTCTCGCAGAACCGCAGCCACCGCGACCCCACTCCGCCCGCTCTTTTTTTCGCGCTTTTTACTTCAAAAACGTAAATTCATTCTCTTCGCTTTGGGGAATTTTGTCGAGCGAGTCTAACGCGGTTTCTGGAACGCGTCGCCCGAACCGTGAAACATTTGCCACGGATTTATGTGGCATCCTGGCTATGCGAACATGGCTCTATCGGCCGGGCCGGGCCGTCCGCCACCGCGTGAGTCGAAGTTGGGTTTCGCGGTGAGTCTCTCTGCGCAACACGGCGCGGTGAGGCGCGGTGCGCGGGGCACTCAAAGTGCCTCGTTGCTTACCCGCTGCCACTACGCTGTAAGGCCCCGACGCGTCCTTGACTTGCGGAGTATTTTTACGGCGGCGACGCCTCGGTAAAAACATTTGCGGTGGCTGCTGTCAAAGTCGGGCTGTATTCCTGTATAGGGGAAGAGGGCAATCTGCTCGGGGAAATTGCATTTGTTAACTTACAGCGTCGGGGCGAAGGACAAAGGAACCGGCTGGGGTGGGGTGGGGCTGGCCAGCACGGGCCAGCGCTAGTTGTTGCTGCTGCTGTTGATGTTGTTTGCTGCTGTTTAAATATCGAGTTGTTTCACCGAGATTTCCATCTGGGGTCAAAAGTTAACTTCACTCATTGGATTAAAATTGATTCATTATTCGTTTGTCACTCGTCTTTTATTCATTCTGCATTTATTCGTTACTCTTCATCATTCATTCATTCATTCATTCATTCATTCATTCATTCATTCATTCATTCATTCATTCATTCATTCATTCATTCATTCATTCATTCATTCATTCATTCATTCATTCATTCATTCATTCATTCATTTCATTCATTCATTCATTCATTCATCATTCATTCATTCATTCATTCATTCATTCATTCATTCATTCATTCATTCATTCATTCATTCATTCATTCATTCCGATTCCGCACCTGCTGGCCCTCCCCGTTTTTTTTTTCCTGCTCCCTTCGACACTGTAACGCGATGCACTGCCTATCAGTGTCGCGGGCATCGCTGCGGTGGCACACTGTGTGTGTGTGTGTGTGTGTGTGTGTGTGTGTGTGTGTGTGTGTGTGTGTGTGTGTGTCTGTGTGTGGCATCACACGCGCTCCATTCCATTGCACACATAAAAAGGGAGAACCGCGGCATTGGCACTTGTTCGGTTGTCATTGATAAACTAGTGTGGTGGTGCCACCCCCCGCGGGTTGATTCCGAACACTGCTCTCATCGCTCTGTCCTTCTCGCACCCCAAGGGCGCCCCGCCAGGGAGCGAGAGAGACAGAGCGAAGCAGCCCGCTGGTGGGGTCTGGGGTGTGTCGGGGTGGCGCCCAGCCCACCGCGGTGCTCCCGGTGGTCTGGCTGATTACCTCGTCCGGGCAAACAACGCGAATTAAAACACAGAAACCGGAGCCTGATTAGCAGGCCGAGAGTCTCGCTCTGTCTCTCTGGCATCCTTGGCACGGCTGCCCATGCCGCGAGCGCGAGAGAGACAGAGCGGCGAAAACGACGCTGCAGGTGGCGTGTTTTGTTCCTGTCCGGGCCGCGCGGGAGAGAGCCAATCAGACGCTTCCGATTTCGAAATGATTCCCCGCCGCCGTCGTGTTCTTCTTCCTCATTGGCCGAGCCTTCAGGTCGTCCTGACTGCCCATGCCGTGTTTTGCCGGCGACTTTTCGCACCCGAGTGCGAGCAGGAAGACCGCTTCGCACAGGTTATGTTTTTCCCGCGCAAACGTGTTTTCGCGCTCTTTTTTTGTTTTTGCAAACATGACTTACTTGCTGTTGCGTCCTGGCTTCCCTTAGTGGCCTGATTGCACTGCTGATCAGTGGCTCGGGGCTGAGCGAGATGGAAGATCTCGGAGCGAGCGGCGCACCGAAAGGGTTGTCACTGATGCTGCGGGGAGGTTAGGGGAGGGTCGCCCCGCCACGGTGGCTCCAGCTGCCTCACTCTCCGAAGGGTCGTTTCATCGCCCTGTCTCTCTCGCACTCACAGGGCGATCCGTGCGGGTGCGAGAGAGACACAGCGACGACTCAGGCTGGCTCCAGGGTGGCTCGCCTCGCCGCCGTAATCCCTCATTGTTGTTTGACCTCTTCGGCGCGAGAGGTCGCCGATAACGGGGCTGGGGGTTTGTTTGTCTTGAGGCGAAGTGGGGGTGGCTGCCGTGCCGGTCGGGCGGAGCGACGCGGCGGGGACCCTCAGCTTGGTGTCGAACAGCGAGTGAAGTTGGGTCAGCAAGGTGGATTCAATTATGATCACGATTATGACTCGATTTTGAACTGCTGCAACTATGGTGGCGAGACAGAAGAGCATTGGGTGTCTTTTGCATTCGCAAATTGTTTTCTTAGGTTAGGTTGCCCCGTGTGTGGAGAGGGTTTAGGTTGGGCCCGTGTGTCTGTTCTAAGTGTCTTTCTATCTGTCTGCCTGTCTGTCTGTCTGTCTGTCTGTCTGTCTGTCTGTCCGTCCGTCTGTCCGCCTGTCACTGACTGGCCGTTCATCACCGTGCCGACACACGCCACGCCTCGTCCGCAGCCTTTGGGCCCTCCGGGGCAAAGCCGGGCAAAAGGCAGTGGCGCCCTCGAGCGTCGGCGGCGCGCAACTCAGGTAGCCACACGATGCGGCAGTCGATAGCGGGGCGCGCATTTTATTACGCCCCGAGGCCAAGAAGCCAAGAAGGCCAGGCGGGCCAGGCTCCTGGGTCCTCGACGCGTTGACGCCGGCACGCGCCAGGAGCTCCAATTATCCGAAAATAAAAATGGAATAAAAGCAGTGTGTGCGTGTGTGTGTGTCCAGTGTGTGTGTGTGTCCAGAGTGTGTTTGTGTTTTTGTTTGTGCATGCGTCTCTCTCTCTCGCTCTCTCTTGTGTGTGTGTGTGTGTGTGTGTGTGTGTGTGTGTGTGTGTGTGTGTG